TTTTGATAAGTTCTTTATAGATTTTGGATACTAACCCTTTATCTGATATGTCATTTGCAAATATCTTCTCCCATTCTGTCGGTTGCCTTTTAGTTTTGCTGTTTCCTTCGCTGTGCAGAAGCTTTTTATTTTGATGAGGTCCCAGCAGTTCATTTTTGCTTTTGTTTCCCTTGCCTCCAGAGACGTGTTGAGTAAGAAGTTGCTGTGGCCAAGATCAAAGAGGTTTTTGCCTGCTTACTCCTGGAGGATTTTGATGGCTTCCTGTCTTATATTTAGGTCTTTCATCCATTTTGAGTTTATTTTTGTGTAGGGTGTAAGAAAGCGGTCCAGATTCATTCTTCTGCATGTCGTTGTCCAGTTTTCCCAGCACCACTTGCTGAAGAGACTGTCTTTATTCCATTGGATATTCTTTCCTGCTTTGTCAAAGATTAGTTGGCCATACATTTGTGGGTCCATTTCTGGGTTCTCTATTCTGTTCCACTGATCTGAGTGTCTGTTCTTGTGCCATTATAACATTTATTTATTATTGAGAAAGAGAGAGACAGACAGAGCATGTGAGGGGGGAGGGGTGGAGAGAGATGGAGACACAGAATCTAAAAAAGGCTCCAGGCTCTGAGCTGTCAGCACAGAGCCCGATGCGGGGCTCAAACTCACGAACCGTGATATCATGACCTGAGCTGAAGTCAGCCGCTTAACAGACTGACCCACCCAGGTGCCCCATAAATGTTAAATTTTTTAAATAAATAAGTAAACGTTTAAAAGAAAAAGGATAATAAAAATGTAGATCCTGGTGGGTCTGGCCTAATCAGGTGATCCTTTTAAAAGAAGTTTCCCTATGCTCAGAGACTGGAAGCACCAAAGAGAGAGAGATCTCTCCCTCTGTTTCTGGCCTTGGAGAAGCAAGCCATGAGTTCTACAGCTGCAAGCAAATGAATTCTGCCAACAATCTCCCAGGCTCCGGGATGGAATGCAGCCTGGCTGCCATCTTGACATGACCCCTGTGGAGACCCTGAGCAGAGAACCCAGCTGAGCCATGCCCAGACCCACAGAAACTGGGGATGGGGGGCAGGGGTGGGAAATAAGTGGGTGCTGCTTTAAGCTGGCAAATCTGTGGTAATTTGTTATGTAACCATAGAAAACAGGGCCACCTTTCAGATAGCCACGTGGCTTCCTTCTTTCCTTATGCCCAAGTGTCTGCTGTTACCTTCACAAAGAGGCCTGGACTGAGCACCCTGAGAAAAATTGCAACATGCCCCCCCCCCTTTTTCTCTACTGCACTCGCTACCTCCTAACCTGCTGAAATAGGGTTATTATTTAATGCCTCCCCTCCTTTGCTGGAATATAAGCCCCTGAGAGCGGGGAGTTTTGTCCATTTGGTTTGCCAGTGTTTCAGGCATCTGCAGTGGGACCCCGTGCATCTTCGGAGGAGGAGGCCTTGATGAGCTGAAGGAATGCCAGCCCTGGGGGGCCTTTATGCGAGGGCAGTTTATGTGCATGTGTTAACTTTGGTGAGGTCAGGGTGCCCAAAGGACAGGCAGGAGGCCCTTCTGGGGCTGCCTCCAGGGTCAAGCCCTTGGCCTTCTAGCCCGGCAATACCGATGGGCTGATTTGGGTGAGAAACAGGATTGGCCGCTGACTGTAATGAGGTCGGCCTTACCAGCTCCTCATGCCAGGCAGCTGACACAAGTGTCTCGGGGCCAGCCGGGCGCTGTGACCCGCGCAGCCCCAGCAGCCTCAGCACCCTTTTTGAGGAGGGTCCACAAGAGTGACGGAGCGGCTGGGGCCATCCTAGCCTACGTGTAGAGACTGAGCCCACTGAGTCTGCTCTGACACTGGCCTCATTTCCTCTGTGCAGTGGCAAGTTGGGCTTCCCAGGGAGCCCTCTGAGATGGCATCCAACATGCTGGGTGTTCGTTACCAGGGGCCCTCGGGACCCACACCCGTGGGAGGGAAGGGGTCGAAACAGGATTAGGTAGAGGGAGAACTTGTATGCAGGCCTCAGTTGACCTTATGGAGAGTTACGGAACCGAAATAGTCCTTCATAGTTGCCCGGCATTCGGCCAAAATGGACCAGTTATTGGATATGGACCACCAGGGAAGGGTGTGACCTTGGGCCAGGCAGCTCTCTGCAGCTGAGACAGGCCCTGGATGGGTGGCCACCAAAAGCTGTCTGCTGACCACACTCCCAGCAGCTGGGTGGCAAGTCCCTTCTTCTTCTTTTTTTTTAATGTTTATTTATTTATCTTGAGAGAGAGAGATAGAGAGTGATTGGGATGGGGGCAGAGAGAGAGACAGAGAATCCCAAGAAGGCTTAGACCCCATATGGGGCTCAAACTCACAAACCGAGAGATCATGACCTGAGAGGAAATCAAAAGTCAGACGTTCAACCAACTGAGCCACTCAGGTGCCCCCAATTCCCTTCTTTTTTTTTT